AAAGAGTCTGGTCCCCTGCCCTCCCCTGGAAAGCTACACGTATATGGCTGATGGGAGGGGAACAGTGCAACGGGACACACTAGTATCCATAGGTAGCAGGCGTCACAACACATTCCATTTGCACTTACATATAGGCTGGGAGCAGGTTAAGATGAAGTTTTTCCAAAGCTCGGTGTTGATGGTAGAAGGGGGAGGAGGAGAGTTTAGACCAAGAGCCTTTTTTCCAGCTACAAGATAAAGAGAGCAAATTCCCTGTGGTCCAATAGCAGGGTTTTATAGAAAAAGATAATGGGCGTTTCTTTACCTTGAGCTTGGATTGCAAAAGGCTCAATTTGGAACTGAACCTCCACTTCCTCCCCACCCAGGAAGCAAAACAAATGAAGAATTGTGAACTGAAAAACCTCTGGATCATGGGGTAGTTCCTGGTAGAAATTCCTTACAAATTAGATTTTGGTGTTTTTGCGGTGGTGTGTTGAACATGTACCCCTTGTAACTGCAAGTAAGAAAAGTGCAAAGTCAATGATAGCCCCTTCAAAGATGGCGCCAATCACCATGTCGTTTACAGTTGAGGAAGTGGGGGGAGTGGGGGTTGGAGGGCAAGCACGTCTCTCTTGGTTGGTTGGTTGGTTTAGCTGCCCCAACAGTTCTTTTTCCACAAGGCCTCTCCTAAAAAAACAGGAGTGCCCAGCTGATCCAATGACACAACAGAACAGATGACAATGAGGAGAAAGGGTAAAAATATCAGAACAGTGTTTCCATCACCTGGACAACAGGCCACATCCTTTGTTTTTTCTTTTGCTTTTTCTTCTGTGACTATTTCATTTCATATACTTAGCTTTAAAAAGGCTCACTCTGATCTGGCCAAATGATCTGACCAGCCATGGCATGACCCTGAACAAAAGTAGGTCGGGCTGAAGATGTGCCTTTTTAACTGGACACAGTCATCATGTTGTAGGCTTTGGAGGGACTGGTTCTGGCCAGCACCATCAGTTCCTCCTTGCAGCTGATGTGACTGTCCACCATAGGGCTCACCGACCCGGTGTTTCCTGAGGAGGAGCTGGCAGAGGCGGTTGTAGGCATTACTACTGGGCCGGGCTGCGACTCGTAGAGGACGCAGATGGAGCCGTCCTCGCCAATGCGATAGGACACCTCGAAGGGGTCCACCCAGAGTGTGAGCTCCTTGGGCAGCAGCAGGTAGAGTTGCTGGATGGTCAGACCAATACGCTGGCCTGCCTGCCCCACCAGTGGGTCCATCTTGTGGTTGATACGGATGCAGCGATAACCTGAACCCTTGCAGGGCCTGTCTGGGAACCAGTGGTGCTTATATTGCTCTGCAGAGATACGGAAAAGAGAGGGTAGAGAGAAAGGTTAGTTTTTTATTGATTGCTATCAGACTGCTTGTACAAACATGTAATGTACAGAAGACCACATTATATCTGATAACGGCACACAGAAGACAGATAGAAGAGAATTACTAGGCACTGTATGTAACTAGAGAGCTGCAGCTGAGCTGTGTGGGGAACTTCAGTTGAATAAAAGTTGAGACATAAAGTAGACAACGTACTTTGTGTTAGATAAGTCTACATGATTGAACAAACATGGTTATACTAATGTAAAAAAAAAAAAACAACCCTGAAATAAAACTGATCATTTAGAAAAAATTTAAAAATAATTTCTAATAGTTCTAAAAGGTTTAGACAAATGTAAACTCACACATTACTGTCAGATGTTTGGCTTTGCGTCTTTTTGGGTTGCCTCCAAATATTAAGCATAACAAGCACATTTTAATCCCATGTTGTGTGTCTTTGCTAGGAGGAAACTTGAGTAGAACCATCACAGGATGGCACCTCACTTGTCACATAACTCAGATATATTATGAAAAAATCATTAACTGCAACCTGCTACTGACTTAGAGATCAAGAAGAGATCTTTTCTGTTAAGCAAAGGATTTAACATCCATTTATCCTCCGTGTTACTTGTATACTAACCGTTTGTTCCTGTGAATGTTTTACAGATGTCATATTGAATCTATAGCTTATCAATGTTAACTAAATATACTTATTTACACTAAAAGTACAGAGTTCAGTCGTGCACACTAGCAAAAAAAGGGGGGTGGGGGTGGGGGGGAACATCACCACCTGTTACAGGCCTGATAAACAGCCATAAACAGGCAGCCAGCAGCACCCTGGGCCTACGTGACAAAAAGAGGGCCATTGAGTTGCACAATCCCTCCCCTGGCTGTCATCAATGTCAAAGTCCCACATGACTGGCTGAACAAAAACACCAAAAGAGTCAGTGTCCCAGCCAGCCATCTGGGACACGCAGCGCCGCCTCTTAAAGGGAAAGCGTCCTTTTTTTCATGCCTGTGTGGAAGTTTTACAACTGCAGTGAAACTGGTGATTCAGAGTGACGCCATTCTCTGTATGCTTCAGGCATTTTAGTGGTTACGATGACGAACATTAACCCTGAGTGTATAAGGAAATAAAATATGGCTCATTCTTTCCTTGCAGGTTCATTTTTGGCATATAAAAAGACAAAATGTTTTTATAGGAAGGCTGGTATAGTTTTAAACATTTTGTTCTGACCTTTTCCTTTATTGACTTCCCCACTTTAAGAAACTCACCTACCCCTCAATTTACCCTGACGAGACTCGATATTGAATTCCCATTGACGCTGGCTGCATTGTGGCCAATGAAAAACAGTTTAAGGAAAGTATGCCAGCATTCAGGCCGAGGCACGAAGGCCACCTGTATGCATCCAAAGGATAATAACACCCCCCTCCCTCCCTTCCTCACCCTCCTACCAGGCTGTATACTGCCAAGCTAATGGAGGGGCTGGCATTTGTGAAAGAGCACAAGGAGCTGGCTGATCCTTCAGCCTCAGATGGAGCCACAAAGGCAGCTACCTACAAACCCTGGAGCAGCTGGGAAAGGATCAGCTCAGCAGGGCCTATTCTTAAAAACGAGGGCATGGAGGGTGGGGGTGGAAAACTAAGCAGATGAGCATGCGCTTAACCCAAAGAGTTTAATGAAATAAGGTTGTTTAATCATTGTAGCTGACCTCAAAAACAAGAAATGCATCTGGACGTGTTCTGGAAGAGCATCACATCATGTTGCTGCTAAGCACAGTTACACAACTATGGCAGTTTCAGTCTGCTCACTAGGATTAATTTCTTCACTTCCATTTGCTAAGCAAAAATAGCTAGGCACCCTGCTTTTCAGCACACAGACACAACAGTAGGTGATTATGGTTTCCAAGCACAAAGAAGCTCTGGCTGGCCTAGTTTAGTAGCATCAAGGGCCGCTGGGTAAAACCACGCGTTCACTTGTTTTCAAACAACATATACAATACATTTACAGCACTTTGATAGAATTCCTGTTTGTGTCTGCTAAATGTAGGGTGCCCCAACACCTTTTCCTTGGATTTCCTTTCCATTTCCTCCATGATTATGCCAGCCTGCTCCCATCTTTCATGTCGTCCTATAGACGCACACCAAAACATCCCCTCCCCCACACACAGGCCTCAGACTCTATTCATCTCCAAGTTTTGCCTGTACACCAACACCACTGTTGAGCTGAGCTTTGTCAGACATTTTTTGTTGAAATGTAAAAACCAATCAACACAACTCTGGACCAATCAACACAAATGAATTAATGCTGATGTTTTTTTTATTTATGCCAAGATCAAATATTGCACTTAAAATGTATATCTGCAAACTAAGATGTGTTTTTGAATAACTATGTAACAAGTGAATGTGTGCTCGTCCTCTGCTGCTGTACATGGAGAGAGGCAGATGTATGGCAGCTTCAGACTCCTGAGACTGGAATGTGTTTATAACAGGAAATAAGCCACAATCACCAAGCAGCTCTGAAGCTTAACTCTCAGAATAGTCAGTAGTACCCAAAAGAAAGACTTTGGGTAAATTACGCAGAGGTATAGGCTTGGTTTCCTGGAAAATCAGTAGTTTTAAATAACTGTCTTTAAACTGTAAGCAATTGTGAATAGCTGGCGTGCTATTTAAGTGAATCGGAGCTGTGGTAAGTCACATCAGAATTCACCTTTCAACTACATGGTCGAATATAAATACAAAAACAATACGAAATGTTGCGTAACATGGTTAGAAGCAATACACCACTGAAACGCACACAAAGATGCAACATGTTTTAATTATGGCAAATGTATTTAAAAACTAATACTAAAGTTTGGTAAAATACTGAGGATGTTTTCCTGATGAACCATTTCTGTCTGGTGCATTACGTAATTGAGCAGCCACCAACTCACTTCGGGCTGTTTTGCACGATTTGCTCTATCGACCGAGGCGCACTTCCTTGTTTGAGGCGTCGCTTTCCACCCCCTTCTGATTTCCAAACAAAGTAGCAAATTCATCTTTAACCAACACGTCTTCCTGTTTCAAATGGTGGATTGTGTTTATTTAATCGTGGACCGTCCGGGATGTTTGTACTTATTAACCATCTAGTGGACGTGCGCAGACAGTGGTGCGCGCTGGTAGCGCTGATAGTGATACTTCAGAGAACAAAGAGAGGCTTCTTTTAAACCCTTCTCAAACAGTTTTCATCCCAGATTCAATGTTTAAATAATCTACAAAACAACCTTAACATGTGAAATTGTAACGTACAACACGATGCGTTGTAAATGGTGTTTTGTGAGCGCAAATGGAAGGTTTTCCTTTTTCTTACCAGCCAAGATGTCCTGTAAGCTTTGGCTGAACGTTTGGACCTGTCGATCGTTTACGTGTCCTTTCACCCTCAGAAATCTCGACAGAAATCCGACGGCGGCGTTTATCTCTGGTTTCATCGTTCCACGGGCACAAAGGGTATGCATTGAGAAAGGCAACGGCGACGATCCGTGCGCTTTTGGTGTTTTCCCCACAATGTGTTTGTCCGACTGCTGGTCTTTTTCTCCACTTGTGAACAGAGATCCTTATCTAGTCGCGCTTGTGTTGTTTCTCTTGGCATTTATCAGTCGAGGTAGAGGAAGTGTTTTCAGAGTCCTTGTGCTAGGACGGTACAGTGTTGGGAAATAGACTCCTGTTGTTGGTAAATAAAGACGGCTGGCGGGGGGGGCCCTCGGTGCCACGACAAGCCTCCCTACTGCCTTTCTTCCAACAGAATGAAGGTCTGAGAATGGGGGAGCGGGCTTTTATAGCGCCCTCCTCCCCCAAAGCACAGACACAAGCTGCTACAGCAACAACAGCACACCAATCACCGGGCGTGCCACCGTCTGACGAGCCACATCTAGGAAGAGAGCAGCCGTCACGTCACTGCGCTGAAAATAAACGAAACAGCGCAGCGTTCACTTGCTGTCGGAAATACGACCAAAAAAAGCAAAACAAACTGACACACAAAAAACAACAACTACAAAACCAAAATAGAGGAGCGCACGAGTTTGGTAGCTTTGAATTCTGCAGGAGGAACTAATATGATACACTGCAACTATGCTACTTTGGTATATTGTACACTATTAAAACCATAACAATGCCAGGGATGACCAAAAATATAGCCTACTGCAGGCCTATAAAATAACATTTAGTTGGTTTCTCTGCAGAAATTCTCTAATTTTTCACAGGTGTCTGAAATTAGAGTAAGTTAAGTTAACTGACAGTAAGTTAAATAAAGCTGTGACTCAAAACCTCCAATATTTACGTCATTGGGACTAGTTAGACCTAAAGAAATGAAAAGTTAATTTGTATACACCAGACTAATGTAACAACATTTTGGGTCCCACAGGTTGTTAGGTTTTATGGCACTGTATGTTCAGAGTTGTGATTTTATTGCTGCTTACCTCCAGGTCAGACCAGCCCCAAGAACAGGTGTCAGTGTGTGTGTGGTTCATTCTTTTTCTTCTCTCTTTCACTGTCTCTGTGTGCAGGTGTGCACATGTGTTGTTTATTCACATGTTAAATGAAATGGGACATGCCTCAGTCAACAGTAAAAGCACATCTTGTGTGACCCTGCAACACTAAGGAGGCCACGTAGTGCCATGCTTATTAAAATCAGTGGAAAACGGCAGGCCGCTGGCCTTTGTGTATTGCAGACACAGTGGTGATCACCTGCTGAGTGCCCCAATTATCATGCAATCAAACAGACCACCAACACACCAACTGCTTCAACTACTAACCTAAAGAGGTATAAAAACAAAAATGTAGATGTGGGCGGAAAACACACACAGAATAACAATTGCTCAATAGTGATTTAATCACACTGCCAACTCGAAAATTCTGTGGAATTGACCTGCTGTCACTTATCTGACCAGTGTTGTCTTGGAGTCTAAATCTCTTCAGTAAACTAACATGATGCTGTGAGTGCAGGCTCCTGATTCACACACTGTGTTTTATGTTAAGTTGAACCCACAGAACATATTGTGAGAGACTATACTATAACTAGGGGTTCAGTTTATGAATTCATGTTACTATAATGTGGCTTACAACATTTCTTTATAATGAAAGGTGCATTCACAAGTTACAGTTGGATGGAAAACTTTGAAATGGCAAAAAGAGTAAAACAATTTTTTTCATCAACATAATATTTAATGCACACTCAGCTAGTACAACTGTTCTTTCATCAACAGAAGTAACAAAAAATGTGAGTGGGAGTGTATAAAAAGAAAGTTGTAATGAACTAATAAATATAATATTAGTTCAAAAGCTCTTCAAATTAGGGATGGGCATTTCAAGCTAAAATACTGTTCAGTCTTTTCTGGGAACTATTCAACAGTTATAAGAAGCCTCCTACCATCAGTCAAAAAGCTAAAAATGAAGCGGCAGTAGATCCTTTAGCAAGACAATGGTCCAAAGCACAGAGCAAAGCCAACTCAGGGATGGTTTCAAAGAAAAAGGTAAACATTTTACTGTGGCTTTCCCAGTCTCTAAACATAAATATCATTGAAAGCCTGTGGATTGAAGAAGACTGTGCATAGCAGACAACCAAGCAATCTGGTAGATTTGCAACAGGTATGCGATGAAGAATGGGCCAAAATTACACCTGAAAGGATACAAGTGCTGTCCAGAGGGTAAACAAAGAGGTTGGAGGAGGACAGGGAGGACATACAAAGTATTAGAGAACATTTCATAAAGGGGGATGTCTTCTGTTGATGAAGGAACAGTTCTACTAGCTGAATGTGCATTCGATATTATGTTGATGAGAAAAAAAATTTGTTTTACTCTTTTATAAAAATAAATAAAACTTTTGCACTCAACTATATACAGTGACCGCAAAGTACACATATGGGAAGTGTTAAATTTAAAGGATTTCCTCAAATTCTGTAGAACAGTAGTGACATTTGATGCTGGAATGCCAGTATTTAGAATTAAAATGTCTCTCCCTTAACTGGCCTCTTGCAACCATTGCCACAAAGTCTGTGACTCACTTCCTGGTCATGTTAAATAAAGGTCTTCTCATATTGGCAGGGAAACACACCAACAAAATACAAGTCCATACATGTGTAAACCCCCACTTCTTCACCACATGCACATCTGTAGTCACGGTTTCACCCACAGTTAAACACTGACTGCTATTTCATGACACAGTGGAGGGTTTCGGTGTGTTGTGGAAGGTCAGGACACTTCTGTTTTACAGATGTAGACTGGCACACTGCCTAATTTGTTATAGCGGCTCACACTGTGGTTTAATACAGTTGAGAATTTCATTTTCCACAAATCATATTTATCTAGAGATCTTCGCATGTTAACTGTGATTTTTCAGATTATTTCTACATTCCTGTTCTAATATTCACATAACCAAGGAGTGAACATTCTTGGCCAAGACAGTGGGTTTAATGACAAAGCCCCAAAGCTGGTCCTCAACACACAAGACTCCACAGGAGTCAAGCCTTTCTTTAGAAGAGGTATTTTTAAACACAATGCATCTTTCATATGTGTCTTTTGTGTGTTATTTGAAGCCAAAATAAAAAAAAAAGAAACAGTTTCACAATGGGAATGTATCAAAACACCCTAGAGCATTTTGGCACCAGTGTGAGGAGATGATGCTGAAGGAAGTGATCTTCTGTCCCTGTTGCTTGTGCAGAATTTGCCTCCCAGGAGAACAGCACCAGCAAGCAGGAGATTTGATAGCAAGAATGATAGCACACATCTGTACTACACACTCAGCTGTGGACAGGCAAATGACTCATTTGTGATAGTATGTGTGGGGGTGTGTGGTTGAGTTATGGCAGCTCAGCAGGGGAGATAAAGTCAAATAGGATAAAAAAGAAAGTGAATGGCAGTGTCGGCAACAACAGAGCAAACTAGTGAAGGGGAATTAAACCTGGAAAACCCCTTGCCTTCCAGCTCTTTTTGATATATTGAAAGTACAAAATACTGTGGACATAGTGCACCTGAATCACTTACAGAATGCAGAGCATGTCCTGTGCTACTGGTTGTTTATAATGTCACTGCCAACAGCACCAGGTAAAATATGGCCCTAGTTGTTGCCAGACAAGGGTGGGGTATCCTGTCATTACGCTGGGCTCTCAGTTAGACTAATGAATGGAGGCTTTTATCTTGAAACCACATGTGAACTACAGTGGAGGAAAGACTGTCAGGTCAGGAGTGACGAGAGAGACCTTGGCTAGTTGCTAGTGTGGGCAGAGTTTTCCAAACACGGATGTGAACATACACGGTGTATATGTACATGATGAGGGTACAAAGAGGTACGTACAGACCAACATCTGCAGGTCACACAAAAGCTAAACCAACAGAGGCTGTATTCATCCACATACGAGACAAAACAACACCAGTACACACACATAAACACACACACACACGCACACAGATAGTTATCTGTGTCCTCAGGCAGGGCCCAGCCTCTTATCTGAGTGCACATTCAGTGTCAGTGAAGTATGTCCCTTTGAAGAGTAATATAGGATTTCTCATTACCTGACCTGCTTAGCATATCTGCATTCACTGTACTTTAGTACCTGAAAACCTGTTTATACCTAAACCATTAGTTATACAGTTCCAGTGGTTTAAATTCAGTACATTTTCTCAAGTACCAAAGTACAGGTGCTTGTGCTTTAATCCTGTAAAGCCTGACACATCAAAAAATAGCCAGAACATTCAAATTTTTTGGAACTGAGATGTTTATTAAACCTTTTAACAAAATCCAAAAGAAAATTCAAGATTCAAGATTCTCATTTGCCATGTATGCATAAAGAGACAGTCCAGGCATATAGGAATAAATGTGCCATATTATTTTGTTTGTTTATTTATTTATTTTTTTTGTATCACATTTGATACATGGGGCATTTTTGGCAACTTTTTTTTGCTCAGAAACTTGCGTAGCAAATATGATACAAATGGTTTTATAGGGTTAATTTGTATGTTATTCTATATAATACTTGTGCCCCACTAAACTCATCTCACTTTCTATACCACGTAGTCCCGAACGGGGTTGCTGGAGCCAATCCCAGCCGGCAATGGGCGAAAGGCAGGGTACACCCGGGACAGGTCGCTGGTCAATCGCAGGGCCAACACGCAGACGAACAACCACACACACCATTCACTCCTACAGGCAATTTAGAGTCACCAGTCAACCTAAGCCGCAAGTGTTTGGACAGTGGGAGGAAGCCGGAGTACCCGGAGAGAACGTGTAAACTCCACACAGAAAGGTTGTGAACACGGAACCTTCTCGCTGTGAGGCAATGGTGCTACCTACCATGCCTCTGTGCTGCCCTGTGCCCCACTATTCAGGTGAAATATTATATTTTATACTCTAAAACATTTAGGACAATGATGGAAGGACAAACCTCTGCACGGTATGTACCACTGTCAAACAGAAGAAGTGGCTGATATCGAAAAATCCTACCAATGGCTGGACAAAGCTGGACTGAAAGACAGCACAGAGGCACTGATCCTGGCAGCACAAGAACAAGCTCTAAGTACAAGATCAATAGAGGCCGGGGTCTACCATACCAGACAGGACCCCAGGTGCAGGCTGTGCAAAGATGCCCCTGAGACAATCCAGCACATAACAG